TATCGCGGAACATCATTTATAACCAAATCGTACTGTAGGGAATTGTAGGATCACGTTTAGTATTTATAGTATTGTGTGTATGTACGTTATCTAATTAGGTTTGTACGTTACCGTTATGATCTGCCGAAAAAGTTGGTTATTGTCAGAGATCAAATTACCAACGAATGTTTGTTATTATGGAGCTAATTATTTTATTTTATTAATGTATTGTTCGGACATACCTTTATTATGAAGCTGACAATTTTATTTTATTAATGTATTGTAGCTCTCATGTTTTAATTTTTAAATTTTTTTTTCTTGTTTGGAACACTAGCTTGGTGGAAATTTGTGGAAAAAGGGAAATTAAAAAAAAAATTAATTCATTGGGTCACCAAAAAAAAAAAAAAAAAAAACTTATTGGGTCACAATGTGTCTAATTTGGAGGTGTACTTGGATTTTGCCAACATGAGGGCAATTTAGTCATTTTATTCATTCACACATCACTTAAAATACAAAAAAGTTAAAAAAGTCTAACAAGAATACCAAACGAACAAAAAAGTTTCATGCTAAAAAAATCAAAAAAACCAAAAAACTAACTAAAAAAGTTATTGTCAAACGACACCTTAAATTAAAATTCACTTTCCAAAATGAGCTTCAATTTTTTTTTTTGGTGAGTTTGAATCAGGGTGAACATGAGTGGATTGGATGACAGCTTTGTGAATTTTTTATTGGATGATTAAATGTGTTTGGCAATTGTTTGGATGATTAGAGGTGTTTAGCAATTGGTTTTAAATTTTTTTTCTTTTTGGTTGTTGTATAATTACAACAAACAAACAAACAAACAAAAAAGAAGAAGAAGAAGAAGCAGCAGCAGCAGAAGAAAAAATTTTGACGATTTAAGTTTTCGAACAAAACAAACTTTGAAATTTTAATCCTACGAGTTTCATGGTTAGGGTTTATTTTATTAAAATTTTCAAACCCTAATTTATTTATTTTTTTAATTTGCTTATTTTTTTTATTAAAAAAAATACAATTTAGTAGCTTTCTCACAAAATAATTACAGATTTATGAAAAATATTATAACTTTAATTATTAATATTCATAAATTTTACCATTGATCTTTAATTATTTTTAAACAATTTATATTTTCTCTTTTTTTTTTGGAGGGGGGAAATATCAAATCAATGATTTGTGCAAAAAATAATTATA